ACTACTTAGTAACTGTAAGTTTTGATTCATGAGTAGGGAAAAGGAAGAATTGTTTTCATGAGGGCAATTTAGAAACAGGTAAATACCAGGAAATGTTTAAAGTTACTACTAATCTAAAATGAAAATTTAATATTCAGTAGTAAAATACTACACATATATTACATTTCCAGTTTCTTTTCTTGTGTTTGAAACCACGTTTGTTGACAGGAAAATGTAAGTATCAAGTCAGAAGTTTAGCCATCAGGTAATGATTTATTAGAATGTGTTGTATCTACCTGAGAAAATGCACCACAGCCATTAAAATAAACATTAAGAAGACCATTTAACAGGCCTGAGAAATGTTTTTAATATAAACCAAAGAGAACGAGCTAGAATACATGACTGTACATATATTATGTTTTCAATTATGTGAAAAATATGGAAGCTTATAGAAAAAAGATTAAAGGATTATAGTAGTTGTTCTGAGGTCTGAGACAGAGTTTTATAGATTTTTTATGTACTTTTTTTCCAAAATGTTACTTTATTATTTTTAAAGCTTATAACAAGCTCTTTATTTTTAAAAGACAATTAAAATTATGTTTATTTGCTGTGTTAATATGCCTTTGTCCAAAAGGCACTTAGTTTTAAAATTGCCTCTGTCCAAAAACAATTACTGTTTAAGAACAGTGGATGAAATCAAATGTCCTTATTCTTCCTAGAGAAAATTATGTCTATTTTATCAAATCAACTAATATTAAAATTAATATTACCATTTTTTAGCTTTTGCTAGGTAATAAAGTTACATATGTCAGATATTATTTAAAGCATTAGAAGGCAAAATAAGAAAAGGGTACCTAGAAAATAGAAACATTTATTAAATGAAGAAATTAAATTCTCAAATTGTCTTTATGAATTGGTTTTATTAAAATTGGACTGAATTTTTAAAATTTATTACTTGACAGCAGGTGTTTTAGAGTTTTCACTGTAAAATAGACCTTGAGGAAAGAATTATTATTATATGTTTGGCTTCATTAGAAACCATTATCTATTTGATGAGTAAGTATTTGGGAGAAAATTATCCTGACCAAGAAATATTAGGGAAAATTAAGGACTATTAAAGGAAAGGAGAGGAAATATAACTCCAAAAGGGTAAGGAACAAGAAAAACAAGAGGAAGGAAAAAAATTAAAGCTTTTAACTAGCCTGGAGATTTAGATTCCATTTAATTCTGCTGGATTGCCATTTCTACTGTCAGTCTATAATCTTAAATGAACTAGTTCCTTAGTCTCAATACTATTTGCCAATCTAATATTTGATAAAGGCAAAATTTCTTTGATTTACTGTGGACAGAATTCTGATGAGAATGCCTTTCTTGGCCTGCCTTTCACCTACTTCCCTCTGCATTTTGAAGAACCCCTGTATCCCGTCTTGCAATCCCAGAAAGTCTTCCCCTCTTTCTATCCTTGTCTTGTTATGTTTTTGTACATTAGGACAACATCCAGTCTTCCTTCCTTTTATTTCTAATTAACTCAAGAGTGCCCAGTGCAAATTAAGAAAGATTTCAGCTCCATTAAAAGTTGTAAAATTAAAAATTATGCCCTCATGTTAGCCCATGTTACTGGTGGAGGATGTCCAGGTTCTTGAACAAATAATTGGGCAAAATGCATAAACAAAGGAAGGAAAGAATGAAGTAACAAAAGCAGAGATTTATGGAAAATGAAAGTACACTCCACAGGGTGGGAGCCAACCGAGCGTAAGGGCTCAAGAGTCTGGTGACCGAATTTTCTGAGGTTTACATACCCTCTACAGGTTTCCCCATCGGTTGCTTGGAGTACACCCTACGTATATTAAGTAGTGGTCTACGGTCAGTCTGAATGGTTGTGTAAGGGGACCAATCAGAGGCTGAAGTGAAGTTACAAATGTATACCCTATGCAAATGAAGACTTTGCCCACGAGCAGCCTGATTGGTTGTGGAAGGGGACCAATCAGAGGTACTTTCAATTTTTCATCAGCCATTCAGAAAAAGGTGGTGGGATGAGGAGGGGTGCAAAGGGAGTAGACTCTGGTCCTTTTGTTACTTGGGCATGGAAAGGTGGGGTTTTCCTTTTTGTTTAGTTCTAGGAAGTCAGCATGAAACAGCCTTAGGTTCCCTGCCTCCAGACCCTATTCTCCTGCCTCACCCATTCCCAATTTTTTTTGTGAATGACCTATCACATTAAAATATTTAAGTCCTGATGCTGCCCAACTTCCCATCAAAGTTTTACCAAAGAATCGGTAAAACGTTATTTGATTCCTTGGTGCAAGTCATCCAGCCAGGCTTGGTGGCTTATGCCTATAATCCCAGTACTTTAGGAGCCCAAGTTGAGCAGATCACTTCAGTCCAAGAGTTCGAGAGCAGCCTGGGCAATACGACAAAATGCTATCTCTACAAAAAATACAAAAAACTTTAGCAGGGCGCAATGGCATGCAGTAGTCCCAACTACTTGGGAGGCTGAGGTGGGAGAATTGCTTGAGCCCAGGAGGCAGAGGTTGTCGTGAGATCACACCGCTGGACTCCAGCCTCGGTGACAGAGTGACACTCTGTCTCAAAAAACCAAAAGAGAGAGTAAAGAAAACTAGTCATTTTCCTTTGAAGAAGTTCACCAAAATATTCAGAGAACCGGCCACTCACCATAGGAATTTATACCAAAGGAAAGTTGTTTAGTAATATACTATGTAGATTACTAAAATGTATGCCCCATACTAAAAGCATATCATAAATACAGTGAGCAAGTATGGCTCTTTCTCAGCAAAAGATCAGGCCATGCCACCGTTGGAGGTTTGGTAATCCTTGGCTGGGGGAAGCAATAGAAATATCGATAAACATTTTTCTTCCCTATAAACATAGTATTAAATTACATTGCAATTAAAGTAACAGTGAATGTAGTGAACTTTACTTGGCCCGTATTTTTACTATAGAACTCCTACATCATTATATATTTTGATTGTGTTTTAGAGATTTTCTTAACCCAATTTATAGATTGGCTTGTTTAATGAACCTGTAAAACTGCACATTGGTGTCCTAGGGAAATGGTCCTGCTAAAAGAGCTTGCCTTTCATTTCAAATAGCAACTTCTACTCTAGAAGAGATCAGTCAATTGCCATATTTTCTTTTCGCTCAATAGTTTTGGGTGTTATAGCTCATGCAAAGTGCCTTTGTATTTTGGTTCACTGACTTAAGGTGCTCTGTGAATTCAACTTATAAATAACTAATGTAGACCTTGTTTTGTGATTGAAATGAGGGGCAGGTCTAGCTGACCCTTTTGATTCTCAAGCCCCTAGTGATATAGATGATATTCATAACCCTTTTCAGCCTCATCCTGCCTGTGCTCTTTGAAGTAAACTATTATGTGTTGACATCCATGACCTATTCTTTGCTAGCTGTTCTTCAGCTCTAATGGACTTTGCTTATTCACAGAAGATGGCACCTCTCTTGAACTCTGTCTCATTTCATTTCTTTTCTTTTCCAGATATCTCTTAGTTTTTCCCCAGCATGTTCTAAATTGTTTTTGAATACCCTAAGTCTCTAATGTAGGAAATATTCTTAGTACTAAGGAATTTTGCTTTAAATTTGGTATAATAGTGCTTTTTGCGCTTCCCCCACCCCATAGTATAATAGTTTTAAATGTCTCTAAATGAATATTTGGAAACCAATCTATCTTAACTTTTATTATATTTCATATATTATTTCCTAAAAAGAGATTATCACGTTTTCATCTGTATGTATAAACAAGATGTAATTTTCTCAATTAACCTATTATAGAAGTTTTTTTTTATTTTCTTCCCATTCTAGTTTCTCATTTCTGACTTCCATATTAGATTGTTTTTATTGACTGTTTTAAAGTAATTATAAGAATGTAATCGAATATTTTATTCTGTCACAATAAAATATGTAACAATTATAATTCTAAGTCAATAATGCTATTTTCTTTATAGTGAATAATGTACTTACATGTCTGGTTCACTGGAAAATAGTCATGAAAATGAGTAAATGTATCCCAGTATTTTTTCATTGACCTTTTAGGTTACTCAAATGTTCTGTCATATAAAAATTTGTTGTATATGTGGATGCAGTATAAATAATATGAAGCTTTTGAATCTATGAATTACATATTTTTATAAATGAGTTAACCCTTATTCTTTAATGGAAATTCATTGATTGTGGTGAATATCATTTTTCACTTTTCAGCAAAGGTTTTAAGTTTTATGATTTTTTGTTAAATATGCTTGTAATATCTAACTATAAAAATATCTCTGGTCTCAATTTGCACATCTAGCAAATGGTCAGAATAATTAAAAGATATCTTGATAAATACTTCCCACCATAAGCAGTCAACAAAGTTTTGTCCTCATGCTAGCTCCATGTCATTCAAACTGTCTCCTTTTGTCTGCAATCAGAGGAGCCTTTTGTTACTGAAAAGGTTCTTAGAGTGAGCTGAAGCACCATATTGATTTGTCTCTCATAGCTGTTTTCTTTAAGCTGGTTTTACTTTTTATCTTGCTGGGCTGTTTATTGTTTGACCAGTAATTTTATTTCTTTGTTCCCGTTCTGCAAGATCCTTTCCTCTTTTAAACTAATGTGCTAATAAGTGTTTGACGTGTAAGAGGAATATTTCTGTTCATAAGAAGTGTAAATCTGTTTTATCAAGCAAAGAAGTATATTTAGGGATGAAGGTCAGCATAATTTCAACAAATTGCATGGTACTGTTGGAGCAAAGCTCCTAGTCCTTTCGTACCTTACAAATGAGTTCCTCTTGGAGGTCACACTCTAAAGTCCAGAAAGCATAGACTATATTAGCATTCCATTTTCTTAGTGAAAATTAAATCTGCCAAATAATACCTACATCTGAATATTAGAGAACAACAGCAGAAAGAAAACATTTATTGAAATTTTCTACTGGGCTATTCTGTTAATCATTTCACATATTTGATAGAATTCTCGGGCATCAAACCAACTCTCAGTCCCATTTGTGTTTTGTAAAGGTTATTTGATTACCACGGGCGTGTGCCTCCACCTCCCCGTGCAGTAATTCCACTGAAGCGTCCCAGAGTGGCAGTCACGACGACTCGCAGGGGGAAAGGAGTCTTTTCCATGAAAGGTGGATCGAGATCTACTGCCAGTGGGTCAACAGGCTCTAAATGTAAGTAAGGTCCTTCATTTTATTTCTCCTTAAAGAAGGGGGTGGTTAACTATCATTGCATGAATGCCTATATTCAATAAATTAACCAGATAGTTATGAAGGGCCTGCTATGTATAAAGTATTAGAAAATCATAAAATGGATAAGAAATGGTCTCTGCTTTTCACCATACTGTGTTGCAGTAGGGGAGACAAACACAAACATGTCTAACAAAAACCCAGGACCAATTTGAAAAGTATTTTATCAGAGCAAATAACACTGTGCTCTCAGCTTAGCTTGTGACATATTAAAGTCCTGAAACATAATATGTTGCTTTTAATGAAGAAATCAATTTACTTCCAAAGGGAGTGCATAAACTGTCTTTTCAGAGAAGCATTATACAAAATTAGTTCATGGTTTGAATATTTGAGCAATTAAGAGAGGCAAACTATAGAAATGTTAAAAGCATAATTTACCATACAGTGATAAATTATGAGATATATGTATCTGAAAATATATTTAATGTCATAAAAAGTAAAATAATATTTGCATAGTTTCACATTAATTAGTAAAAAGCAGCGATACAAACTTTCCAACTAAACACACTGCTAAATTTTTATGTGGAGTGATTCAGAAAAAAATTTTATTTGTTGTTATTCCTAAGGATAACAAAATTTCCCATATTCCTTGAGATTGCCCTTTATCAGAAAGCGAACAAATAATGAACTGATCAATAGGTAAAAGAATAAACACATAGAGAAAGTTGGGAACACTATATTTCATTGATTGAAGTGACATTTGAGTGGAAACCTAAAGGATGTAAGGAAAAGAGAAAGTGAGCTTGAAGCTGTCAGAGACATTCTGTGGAGAAAAATTGGTCAGTGCAGAGACCTTAAGTTGAATAGTCAAGGAACAATAAGGAAGCCAGTGTGACTGCAACAGAGCTGAGCCAGTGAGGGAAAGTCTGGCTGGGGATCAGGTCAGAGAGTTAGACACAGGGCAAGTTCCAACGCAGCTTGATAAGCCACTGCAGAGACTTGGATTTACTCTGCATCCCAACCATTTAAGACAAGTAAGGCAAATAGTATTATCCCAGTTTTATTGATGAGTAAACACAGAAAGTCATATAGCTAATTGATATAGTAGAGCCAGACCTAGAACCTAGGTCTCTTAGTTCTTATGCCCATATGCTATTTACTGCAGAACACTGCCTTTTATTTCAGCACTATACTGAGAAAGAATCACTATTGAAATACTTTGTTTTTACAAAACGCAGTTCAAGATGCAGGAAGGTACTGATGCTTCTGAAAAGGCTAAAGTTTATTATACTCAACAAACTTTGTGGACCTAAGATAACTTCAATAGCACATTCATAGATTTATGGATTTCTATGTAATTATGTATCCATGTATCTATTCTGTAGATAGGTAAATATGAATTCCTTTTTGAGTCTTAGTAACAAAAAAAGGAGTTTCTGCAGCAACTCGTTGGAGGTTAGGTCACCCCAATGTGGAGTATACACAAGTTTCTCTCTCTCAAAAAGTCTCCAAGTGTTGAAAATTTCAATGACTTGTTTCTTACATTGGAAAAAATAAACAATGAAGGGATTTTTATAGAAAGACAAATTGCCAAAGTCAGCTACTTGGAGAAATAATGTGAAGAGACTTTACAGTTTGTAACCATTACAACATGTAACATAAGAATTTATCCTTAAATCCAATGGTAAATCACACATGAGGTTTAATTTCATCTTTTCTTTCTTTCTTTTCTGTGTGTGTGTGTGTAAGATGTGACAGTCTTGAGAAAAGGCTAAATCTGAAAATTGGACTACTAAATACAAACTAGAGATGCTTTGAAAGAAATGTGGTGTGTTTTACTTTTTTGCAGCAATCATTCTTTGGAACTGTGCATCCTACAATATCCCTGTTACGCTGGAAAGATATAGATAAGCAATAGGTAGAAAGATAAATTATGTGGTGAAAAGATTTTGTAAGGACAATCAAGACAAATGATCATTTCAAATCTATTCAGCATATTATAATTATGTTAATTTTACTTAAGGTTTTTAAGTGCTGTATCTTTATTATATTGAAGTTAAATCAAAAGGAAATATTTCATATAAAACACTGGGGAAAATCACTTTAAAAGATTTATCCTAAGGATTAAATCTAAGCTTGGAGGTAGAATAGTCATGTGGCTTCCAGCATCAATAAGACAGCTCCAAGGGATTACTGCCGAGAGACAGGCAAGCCATAGGCTATAGGTGCAACCTCAATAAGATACTTGAGTCGGGGAGCTTGACGGGCCTGATTTACATAGTAGAGAAGAGGGGCTCCTGGGCCTCCTCCAAGCCAGCCCTGCAGCAGAGCTTCTGTGTAGTAGTCAATGTCATGGTCAGTCACATCAGAGATTACCCAGAAACAAGGGGCAGCCATGATGCCAGCCCCCTGTTATTACAGCAAGACAACAGATTGATCAATTCTATTCATTTCATATAGTTCTATACATTTAGAGCTCAAGTCACAAAACTTAACTGTTGATTAGTGTTACTTTAGTGAAACATTAAAAATGTATCTATAATTCACTGGGAAGCATAACTAGAATCATGATTTAATATTTTTAGGAGCATATTGGCAGATTATATTATGTGTACATATATGTACATAAAATATATATGTGCATGTATAAATATTCATTAAATTTATAGTACTTGTTATAATTAGGTTGGTTTCTGGAAATAACAAAAGTTTCAAACTCAAATCACAAATGAAAAGTATCAGTGAAGTTTAAAATAGACTATGTTAATATTGATAGAATCTGAATAAATATTTACTGAGGTATATATCTCACTCTTTTATTAATAGCTGTTTCCAGCATTTAATGGTTTGGCAAGTTCAGAAGAGGAAATTAATGTTATAGCTTGGATAATTTGTCATTTCTTATTTCAGAATTTGTAATATGACTGAATTCTGCTAAGGAGAAAACTATATAAAGAAAAATATATTAATGTGATAATTTACCAAAAATGAATACTGATAAGCATTTAAAGTGGATTGCTTTAAATAGATTGCCACTAGGTATTTCTGTCCCATTTCAAATCAAATTGAACTAAAACTATAATCAACTTGTCCTGTCCTGACATCATACAGTCATAAAATAAAGAAAATATGATATTGCAGATTAGTATTTTACGAAAGAGAAAACATGAATATCAGTGAGCTTTAGCTGTAGTTTCTTAGTGGAAAAATTGATGCCCTCTGGAAAAAAATATTCGATCATATCAATTTCTTTAAAGAATTAATTTAAATTCTAATGTCTAACAAGAAAGACTCTGGTAAGTTTGAATGCCTTTAGGGACTTGTCAATGTACTTTCAGTGACAGAATAGGTGACAAACTAATATAAATGCCCTGAAGCATCTAACAGGAAATTAAAGACAGTTCAATTAAAGTTAAAATTGAGAATTTATCCCCAATGCTAAGAAGGCTTTATGTTGGGTTCCTCCCCTCAAAAGTATGTGATTGAAATACAGAGATAAAGCATCAACCAGAGAAATAATATTAATACTCAGCAACATATCATTAAACATTCCCATCCATCCATTATCCTAGGCAAAGTATATTCTGCTTTAGAGATTTTTAAAGAGAGAAAGTACTATCAGCCGGAAAGGTTAGAGAAGGCTTAACAGAGAATTTTGAATTGAGTTTAGAAGAGCCTGTGCATTCAGAAAGGTAGAATGAGAGATACTTGCTTTCTGGGAGACAGGATCTAGGTGGAGAACAGAGGCTTTCCTGTCAGATTGCCTGGAGTGGAGTCTGTTTCACAGTATACTACCATGGTGGCCTTGGGGAAATCCTTTAACCCCTACATACCTCTAATTTCTACCTGGAAATTGAAAATAATATACTGTATATCCAATAGTTATTGTAAGAATTAAACTACTTATGTATATAAAATGCTTAGGCACATAGTAATGTTCAGTGAGGTTATTGCTACTACTATTATTATTATAGCAGGTAGGAGCATGGAACATGAAATTGCTGCACCTAGAATCCAATAGTGCCTCAGCCATTTATTATGTGTGTTTTGCGGCGAGGTACTTTTGCTTGCTGTGCCTTAGTTTCCTCATCTATAAAATGGGAATGATAATCTTACTGCCTTCTCTGTAGAGTTGTGAGGATTAAATGAGCTAGCACATGTAGAGCTCTTAGAACAGTGTCAGCTAATATAAAAGTCTTAATAGATAATAAACTGTGATAGTAAAAATAATAACTATTATCTGAAGTAAAGATTTATTGCTAGGAATGTCAGTTAATAAACTGAGGACATTATTATTAAACAAGATATAAAATTGGGTAAAAGGATAATGAAAAACTGTGCAGAATATTGAAGGGTTTGGATTTCATGCAGGGCCAAGATAAAAAATTCTCAGCAAAGTGCTACCTGCTCAAAATGATATTTTAGGACACCTGTATGATGGGTGTCATTAGTTGGCGAGGGCTGTCATAACAAAGTACTATAGTTTGGGTGGCTTTAAATTTATTTTCTCACAATGATGGAGGCTGAAAGTTGGAGATCAAAGTGTCAGAAAGCTTGGTTCTTTCTGATTGCTGTGAGGTAAGGGTCTGTGTCAGTCCTCTCTCCATGACTGGTAGATGACCATCTTATCCCCATGTCTTCACGCTGTTTACTCTTCATGTGTCTTGTCTAATAAATTCCCTCTTCTTATAAGGACAAGTTTAGAACCCTCTATGTTACAAGGGCATCACCTATCCTCTAACTTCAGGCCAGTTGTTCATTTTTTTATTATGGAACTTACACTCTTCTGCTTCATGTCGTAGTTATTTGTATGGACATCTAATCTTTCTATTTTCAATTACAAATTCATTCAAGTTGATTATGCTTTGCAGATTATACTCTTAAACATTTGTGAAATGTGACATCACTATTATTTTTGCTTTTTGCATTTTACTTTTTGTCATACATTTTACAGTTGACTTTGAACCACATCTTTAAAAATGCTA